ACGTGCCCTCACTCATGACAGACTTATTTCAAAAAAAGTTGCAGTTCTGTTCCAGAGCACCCTCGAAATCAGAAAATAGTGTTAACTTTAGCAAAGTAACAGCGGTCAAGGACAGTGAGAGATACTCGTGGGACACCCGTGTGCCGAGGTGAGTGTGCAAACTCAGAAATCCAAGAAGCGGTTCCAGAGCAGCCCAGGTGCTACGAAAAAGTGAGGCGTGGTTAGCAAGGGGTCGGCGCAGGAGGCGGTGTGTCCTCAGGTGTCGAGGCAACAGCCAAAAAAATAGCATTTTTGTGCATAAAATCCCGGAGACGTATAAAAGTTGCGTGAAAGTGAGCAAGAGAAGATGTATTGGGAGACACACTCCCGTGGGAGGAGCGTGCTTCGATATGGGTGAGGTGAGGTCAAGAAACCATTACATGGTTTGAGATCTCCTCCCTCCCCCAGATAAGACGGAATAACCTATTTTAACCACCACTGACTGCCATAGTAACGTATGATACCAGCTGGATTGGAGAAAATAAGCAATGAATAAAGGCATGAGAAAATGAATGTAAATACCTGCAGTGACGAGCAGGTCACCATCGTAATGTAAGTTGTCGGCCAATATCCACAGTAACTGAAATACGTTTGCAAAGAATATTGATTATTGGTGGGTGATTTGAAGCGATAATATAATATGTCCGGTGAGGGGATAGAGGGCCAGTGGACGGGTGTGACCAAATCCTGCCTTCTGGAAGTACTGCTTGGCCAGTAGACACCCCCATCTACTTCGCCCTTTAGCTGCGCACACTCCCACTCCCAACTACCATTCCGGGGAGCGGAGGCAAAATAGCAGAGTATTTCCTAGCTTGATGACCTGACACAATGAGACCTGCTGCGTTGAATAGTTGGGTATGTTTGAAAGGCGCAGTTGCCAATCGTCATACTGACATTGATGTAATTCACACATTCACATTTGCATTATCTCGTCCAGATAGCTAATTACATCTTAGCCAAGGCAGTGGGCAAGATTCATGGGGGCGGGCAGTTGTCACCAACGTCATTGGTGGAAAGGCTTAGTGAGAAGTGGCAAGCTGCATTGCAGTAATGCTTACCAGCAAGGCCAGCATGATAGATCCACTACTGTGTAGGCGTGTAGGCAAGCAGCATTGATAAAGAGATTCAATGGCCAAAGAACTCTGGGAATAGATCAGAAGCCTATGAAAATGGCTTATCAAACCACCCATCCGTACCACACTGGGGGATATGCTGACGTCCCGCCACTGTAGGCCAACCAGTTACATTAATCAAGATGTAGCGATCTGGACGAGTTGCTCGGTTCAAAGGATTTGCTACAGAAGGGCTTTGCAGGTGGCAATCGCGGTTAAGGCACCCAGTCAGAATACGATGCTTATATGACGACTCGAATTTTATAGATGGTCCCGTTGCGAAAACTTGCGTGCAGACAGGTACAGGACAGGTGCTGCTTAAGCACTGTAAGGTTGTAGAATATATGTGACAAGCAAGGTCTTTTTCTCTGGGGTGGGTGAGATACTTCAGATGCCTGAAAAACTAATATAATGTTAGAGGATGTTGTAGTCATGCGGCACGGACGAGAGAGTGCAGAGAAAAACAGAAAACTTGCGATAAGGGAGTGCAAATTGCTCGTAGTCGAACACGATCTGTACCATTGACCGACTATCAATCTATAACCACAGCACCAGTCGTACACTCGAAGGGTTCGGACGGAGAGTATTTACAGCGAACCACGACATAACTGCCATTTAGGTGAAGACGCTATAGCGCTGCAATCCTGGATGTACGGGAGGCGAAGGGGGGGGGGTCATGTTCGCCATATGAGGAATTTTCTGATTGTTGTTTCATTATACCTCTTCCGCCTAGCCAAACACGGCCGACGGAGGGAGAGCGAGAGGGCTCGTGTAAAGCAAGTGTTCCCCACAAGTGACCGATCCTCAGGAGGAAATGTGGTAACCTAAGTACCACGAAAAAAAAATCATTTTATATCCTTCGTGGAGCAATAAACGTAATATAACTCGAGGGAGACTCACCATATCAGTCTCCGATTCCATGGTCTGTGTTTCTGTGCTTGTCGTCCAGATCGGTTGAAGTGTATCCTTTCTGATTCCCGATTTCCTCAATAGAGCGTCTTCCCAGTTATTATTCATTGAAAGGAAACGTTCTTTGATTTGATTCATTTCCTTCGCACAATAATCTTCTTCACTTGTTTCTTCCTCATATTCTTGCCACTTATCCGCTATTCTTTGCTTGCGCTTCTTTAGCTTGCGATTCGGCTTTTTCACGACTGCTTGTTTCTGATTCCATCCATTTCTTTTCTCCTGTTTTCGATTCATTTCCTCCTCGGAATCTTCCCATTCAGTGGTTTCTTTCTCAACTTCTTGCTGCTTACTCGTACTTCTCCCGAAGTCCCACTCGCGATTCGGCTCATTATCAAATTCCGCTTCTGATTCATTTCATTTTCTCCTTCCTGCTGGTGATTCAATCTCTCCTCAACTTTCTGCTGCTTTTTCGCTTTTTTCCGAGCTTTTCGCTTGCCATTCGACTTTTTCACGACTTCTTCTTCCTGACTCCTTTCATTTTCCGCAGCCTGCTGGTTCATTATCTCCACCATTTCCTGTTTCTGACTCGATTCATTTTGCACTTCCTCCTTTTGACTCATTTTCTCCTCAACTTGCTGTTCCTGACTCATTTCATTATTTTCTTCCTGCTTCTCATTAATATTCTCTTCAACTTCTTGCTTTTGATTAGTTTCTTTTTCTTCCTCTTCCTGCATTTGATTCATTTTCTTTTCCTCTTCCTGCTGCTTACCTGTCTTCCTCCGCGCTTTTTTCTTGCGCTTCGACTTTTTCACGAGCTCTTGATTCTGGTTCGTTTCATTCTGATCTTCCTGCTCTTGATTCATTTTCTTCTCGAACTCTTCCTGCTGATTCATTTCCATCCCATTTTGCTGCTCTTTTTCCTTTTGATCCCCTTCTCCAATCTGCTTCGATTTCTTCTTAGGTTTTCTCCTCTTTTTAGGGTTCTTCCCAACTTGTTGCTCCTCCTGAATCACGTGCTTTTCAGGGTTCTCCCTAGCTTGTTGCTCCTGAATCACGTGTTCCTCGATCTGCTGTTGAATCTCTGTCATCTGAATCTCATTATTCTTAATAATTTGCTTCACAGATTCAATGATCTTGTCCACTCTGTTCGTTAACACTTTCAACTTCCTCTCTCGTGCAGCACGGCTCGCACTATCCACCGGGACGCTTCCATCCTAAATGAAGAAATCACTAAGTGTGCGACAACACCTTAAGAACAATAAATTCTACAACTCCTGCACAAAATCGGTTACCTTAGGCAGCTAGGGTTCTTCTGCGAAGTCATTTGGTGGCGGAACTATAGTTTGTAGCAGGCAATCAGTCGAGCGGGTGTGAGGAGATTGGAAGAGCCAGCCCGCTTTCGGCTGCCTTGGTCTACCAATGGTGATCACTTGGCCCGCGATGTCGCACGGCCAGCAGCACGCCTAACCATAGCCAAACGCGCTACTTGTCTACGCCCTCTCGCTTCTGCTGTACTCTATCGGGTGCGGGTTTCGCTGCCCTGTTATCGATGCTAATGCCGCACTTCAAGGATAGTACGGACTGTGTATTGAGAAAGCAGTCATTTACCACAGCCTTACAGCCAGTCCCGTGCACTTCTGAGCGGAGATCATGGAACGCTACTGCAGCTGCGGACCCACTCGCCTTGCACTTGACGAGGAACGTTCACGGAAAAGAGGGGGCACTTGTTCTCAAGCTCTCTGAAGTGCAAGTTGTACTGTTTCACGATATGTGATAATTGATCGGATTTCTGTCCTAGCCCTTTCAACGATTGCTGGAGGATGGACGGATGGGGAGCGGGGTCCAGGGTTATACGCCTTGTGCCGCGATGGCTTACACCGCAAACTACACTGCTATCTAGTGGAGTGAGAAGTTAGTTTGTGGTTGGGGAAACGCTTCATCCAGAGGAAAGTAGAGCAAAGATTTCTACAGTACCTATTTTCGCCGTGGGACCCGCACACTTTTGTGGTGCGAGCCACACCTTGCCAATAGAGTCTCGAATGCTGATTACGAACATGTAGATCAAAAATGCTACTCCCATTGATCTCCCAGACGCGTTCTGGGTGACCAAAATTTGCTGTAAATGTAGTGTTAGCATGTGAGCACTACACAGCGGCCTGATGCCGCGACAGCGCGACCTAGTGGTAAGGGTCTCGCTTCAAAGCCAAGAGTAAGCGGGTTTGCATCCCGCTGGCACGAAAACTTTTGATTCGTCTCCTACAAGAGTTTTACTCCAATTTTCAAAATTCTGCGGAAATCCGCTAGCTTTTCCGATCTGCATATTCGTAATCGTTTGCATATTCGTGACTCTATGGATGTACCTAGGTCTCCATCCAAAGTTCCATGGCAAGTTGAAACCATTCCCCTGTTAGGAACTCATCTACCTGCACGGACAAACATTGCGGATAAGTCACATCTCTGGCTTGGAGTCAAATGTATGGCGCAATAGATTCGCGGTCGATGGAATGAACTATCCGCCATTCTCTTTCGGGAAAGGATGTGTAGCGGCAGCCCACTTGATTCTTCGAACGAAATGGAAGTGCTATGGTGACCAGTGTAGTGTGTTTCTTGGAGAACTCAAAACTTTCAGAGCAATTACAAAAGGGGAAGTTTTGGATCCGGTCACTGTTAGAAAGAGTCTGGGAGCCTCCTACACTCTAGCGCTGCTGTTATTCTCCAAAGAATTCGGAGCATCTGGGATAACTTTGGCTTGCTCTAGAAAGTGTAAGCTGCTTCCTTTCAGACCTGCTCTCATTTCTTCAAACGCTCTATTTCTATTCCCAAAAAAGCTTTGTCGTTCGAAGAAAGGGTATCGTCTTGAATAGTAGGCACCGTTCAGATTCAACGCGCTGTATAGCGCAAAAACTGCGCTGCAATCACAACAGTGCTCCAAGACTATAAACGCGATCGCAGCCACCCCGGCGCCGATCGATTCCCATCCGCGAAGCTTTGACCGATGGGTGCCGACTTGAGATTGGGGGAGTACGGGGAGAGATGATGGTAGGTGAGATTTGAGACACAAACGGCCGGCGCCGATCGATCAAACCTTCGCGGACGGGAATTGATCAGCGCAGGCTGTCTGCGGCTGCGTTCGCGCTCATAGCGTTGGAGAATTGTAACAGCAGCGCAGCAACGCGCGTAACAGCGCTCTAACAGCCCATTACATTGCTGCGCTGTGCAGCGCGTAGAGCCTGAACGTTGCCTTACACACAAGATATAGCGAGATATAGTGCGCTCCAGTGTAGTTACGGTTGCGCGAACAGAGGGCGAATTCAATTTCAGATCCCTCTCCGTCATAGGGTCATGTAGAGAAGCAAATTCAATAATGATCTATGCTCCTTCAAACCCGACCTATCCAAATTTAAAGCTACGCTGAAGGTACACTTAAATAGTCAGTCGCAATTGTCGGGTCGCAATCAGCGGCTCTCAACCTGCGGCCGTTTCCATCATTGGTTGTTTCCTTCCTGAATCGATCTCTACCCGATCGCCATTGGTAGAGCAAGGGAGCCGAACGCGGACTCGAACCGCGCTGCTCACGCCGCCTCCGACAGTCCGCAATGATGAGGACTCTACAGTATAGCGTTGACTGCACTTTTTGGAAGAGTCAGTTTTTGCTACTATTTACCTCCGTGAACCCCATGAACCTCCGTAAAAATTATCCGTGTAATCTCCACTCATATCTGAAGGTAATAGACCAGCCAACTGCGCATCTTCCCCTCTTTTTGTGGACTAGGACACACTAAAGACTGAAACTTTATCCATGTGCAGTCATGATCCCAGCAAACGATAGGGCGTGTGGCACGACGCGTATTCAAGCGCTGCTAGGGCGCGCTTTTTCTATCGAAGATGCCATCCCAGCACGTTTCAACTGGTGGAAAATCTGATCTGGCTGCGCTTCAAACAATGCCTCCGTCAGTCTTGCGTCAGCTTCGTTTGCAGGTGAAGTCATGAGACCTGCGAACGATAGGGGGTGTAACACGGCACGACTTGCGGAGGGGGGGGGGAGGCGGTCGAATTGCGTGGTTGACAGCTATCGCACTGCTATTGAGGCGCAACTGATCGTGATTGCCATTTCCTCCCACCTCTGCAGCTTTTCCCTTTCGCCGGACAACTCGTCCAGGTCGCTCATCATCATGACGGACGTGCTTAATCGACCTGCAGTGGCAGGACTCTACCATACACATCGCATTACGCGGATTACCTGACTATTATACTGTTATTTATCCGGAGAACTTATTTTTTGGGAGTGATAATGAATTTTTCAATAATTTGTTTTTATTGAGGTTGATCAAGCACGTATAACAAGATAATAAGCGATGTAGACGAGCTTTCCGGCACGGTTATAACGATGGCACAATGGCAATTACGGCTGGCAGTTTCTCGGTAGCAGTAAGAGAGTTGACAGCTGCGGCTTTTAGCATACAACACACTCCTGCTAATTGTGCCGCCTCTGGATGGCACCGTTGGCAGTAAAGTCTGCCCGCTCTTGCTTCAATCCAGGCCCCGTCTCACGCCCTATTGCTTGCAGGGACCCTGTTCTCTGCGATAATAAAAAAACACCGTCAAAATTAGATCAGCCAGAAAAGTCTGGCAAAGTATCAGAAGTGCCTCAGGTCTGTGCATATTTCACAAGAAGACCAATTTTTGTTTTTGTTCTTGAAAATTTCACCCTTCGTGCAGTGGCTTCTCAGTGAGTAACCACACTTTCCATAAATATTAGAACCATAAAAACCGGTCCCGTTGCAATACCACAACATGCTGCACTTTCTGTTGATATAAACTCCAGATGACTTGATACACGTAGGGCAATGGCCACGCACTTCATTTGAACTTGGCAGCGCGCGCGCTTTCGGTGAGATTTTTTTTCATTTTGGGGCTATTCTAACTATGTTCCTGTGGCGACCTAAAGATGCAGTTGTCTGCAAACAGCAAAGATCCCACAAGTTATCAATTCCACGGCCGCCCCCCCCCTACGTTCTGTGAAGTGGGGCTGCAAGTCATTGTCTACAGTCTTAATACATCGGTCAATCGAGAAACCTCTCCTGTCCTACCTTCTTCTCCTCTTTCTATTCCACTTTTAGAGACTACACCAAACGAAGCGCGAAGAAAATACATCTGAACCCTCCAAACGAGAGAAATTCTTGTTGACAGATGCCTTGTAACCGGTACACAATACCATTCAATCTGTGATATCTTCTTCAAGTCATGGGGAAACTTATCAAAAAATTTTCTCAGTATTCTAGGTTTGCTGGTTTCCTTTGTAATTATTTTAGGATTTTCTTTTTGCTACAAAGTACGGTTTGAAACCAACCCACTCGCGGTGTATTGTTCAACTAATCCAATTAAAAAACATCCTAACCTCATCATCCGTGTTCATGTGGTTGTACGAACGCTTGGGAGATCTGCTATTCTTCTTGGCCATTATGCAACAGTACCGAGAACATAGAATTACCTGAAAGGAAAAAAATTCTAGAAAACTAAAAAGATTCAGTGAAGCACGACGTCATCCGAACAAGTCTGAGATTGTAGGAAGGACCAATAACTTCCTAAAAAGGAGGCAACTTCTGAAGCTGTCGAATTGCAATTGTAAACCGTTTTTCGAAACACTGCATTGACTAGGTAAGATTATCATGAATTGGTTCACATGGAATGGATGCGGTTATTAATCGCGACAGGACCCTCAAGTGAGCTAAGCTGGCTGAAACGCTCGGAAGCGCACTCGCTTGGAGGGATTAGGCGAAAAAGCTTGCCCATAATCAAAGTTTCTGAAGTAATTAAACGAGCTGAAAACTGCATATTGCATTTCAGGAAGCTGCCTACCTCCCACAGTTTAGGAAAACACATTTCGTTCCATAAGTGAGAATGCAGCTGCCATCTCTGAATGTTCTGGAAGTTGTGTTTTAAGTTGAAATCAGGATTAGGTAGCAGATAAACAGCTCTCTTCCCAAATGGAACGCTTTTTCCTAAGGGCAATACCTTGCCAGTACTTTTTTGACGGTTTTCATTGGAAATCGCCCATGTGGATAGTACCATATTTTCAGGGGTATAGGGTGTCACAAAGAACAGTGTGTGGTTCACGCGTTAGCATCATCTTCGTCATTTTCCTTATGCTCGAGGAAGTTTCTCTCTGGGTTTAGTTGTCGACGGTCGATGTTCTCCTCTAGTCTGTTGCCATTAAGTCACTGAATACCCCGTGGATGTTTTGAAGTTGGGTCAACATCTTAGATTTGGCTGGAAACTAGTTCGTAGGTGTGGGTTGGCCTGCTGGAGTTGAATATCACACTCAGGGTACAGCATCGTTGTGCGAAACCCATAGGGGGGGGTCGTACTTGGCCGCTGGGGAGGGGGGGGTCGTAATCTCAAGGGTCACTCAGAGCCGAGCAATGGTTCGACATTTCAGTTGATAGTGGGAGTGGAGCTATGGAAGTCAAGATGTTTTAAAAAAATGAAGTTTATTATGAGTGTATTCTTTACAGCTTTAAATGCTACGTTTAACAGCCCTCTTTTCATGGGAAATCCCCAAGAATGGGTTCGTACTTGGCCGCGGGGGACGTGGGGAGTATCGCAAAAGTAGGCTCGCTAGGCATCAAACAGTACAAAGGTGTCATTGCTAAGGGTAATGGAACGGACGGAAAGCTTCAGAAGACCCGGATGTAAATAGGAATACAAAATGAAGCTCTTACCTTTTTGCTCATTTCTATAATGGAATCAAGAAAGAAAATAGAAAACAAAAGCCATCAAGTTCGGATCACCTTTCTATGTGTCAAACCAAGCTTCAGTACCTAAGAAAATTGCAGTTAAAGGAAAAAAAAGCATGAAATTGAGTCGCTTCTTTCCAAAAGCCTTCGCAGCATAAGTAATAGCGTCGAGGCGCGCTCTGCCATGTACCGAAGATCGCGGCAATCGCCAAGGTCGCCGCGATCGCCGCTGCTGTCGCGAAGTATGAACGCTGCCTTAGTCCACAAAAGGTTTATACTTTGTAAAGTCGATCGCAGTCCTCCTACGGGCAGTGACGAACGAGCACGGATGTTCGAAGATTAGATGGTCAATTTAATGGAGAGTATAAAAGGCTCCCCCATGGGAATTGGTCCTACGACCTCTTGCGTATAACAACCTATCGAAAAAAACCTATATTCGCGCTGCGCTCACATTGCCCCACGTTGCATCATCCTTTCCTCATTGATGTGAGGACGCTTCCATGCGAGAGCATGTGAAACATCAGCGATGGGAGAAAACATCCTGAAACTCAGCCCAAAGAGTCGCTAAACAAGGCTTGGAGAAAGATTTGACTTGAAGACACTTCCCGCGATCAAGTGGTCAGCGAAATGACTCCGTGCATTTGACATCGTTTTCCGCACTCGCAGAATATACGACTTTCGTTGAATGGCAAGATAACGAAGCTAGAAACGCGTGGTTTTGCAACCGGTGCAACCGCGTACTGTAAGCAAGACAACGGCTTCACAAGCGGAATTGCGTGTGTACATAGCGTTGCCTGGAGCGTCGTAGGGCGATTTCCTATGCTCTTGCCGGGAATTGGTTGCACCTAGAATCCTGCTGATTGGCTTGTCCTCATGATGAACTCGTCCAAGGTGCCGCCTCCACTGCTAGGGGGGAGGTGGGTCTGTGCTCAGGGTATTCCCATATATTTTTCGCTTTTTCTCTACTGATGAGTTTTTGATGGGCTACTGGTTCATGACTGAGCACCTGCTACCTGTTACACTTGATCGCGGGAATTGTCTTTGAGCGTCTCAAGATGCGCGCTTTGGTGTACCTCACATTGCAGAAAGTCGGGTAACTGGTTAGCACAGGGTTATCACTCTACGTCACCCCACGCTAGGCCGCGTTCATACTTTGCGGCTGTGTCCACTAAGCTCTTCGAGCGTCCAGCAGCGTCTGTCGTGACTCTCGGTCATGATATCGATGATGCACACTAGCACCGTTGGTGCCGGCGTTTTGCAATCGTACCTCGGCTCATGCCGTCCGCCCAGGAGACGGGAGACGCTAGGACCGCCTACCTGCACCGGTATATATACCGCCCCTCTTTGGCTGTATATATGCCGCTGCCTGAAAGGATCGAGCAAGGTTCAGCATGGTTGTGTTATGCCTTATCACGATTATGTTCAATTTACCTATAATGTAGTAACAGTCGTGTAGTTAAAGATTGGAAGTCATAATTGTTTACTGCATTCTTACCACTTCGTAACTACCAAAACCTCATTGGACCGTGATGCAGTTCAAACAGCGTCAGCGACTGGGAAAGTATAGACATCGATCTAGGGTCTGCCAGCGTCTACCAGCGGCCGCCAGCGTCTCGAGGGCCTGGGAAGTATAGGTATTGATCTGGCGTCTAACAGCGTGTGCCAGCGTGCGACAGCATCAACCAGCGGCCGAGGGAGGAGAGAATGGCACAGTAGAAGGGTAGCAAACAGCTGATGGAGTATGAGGAGGTAGGAGGTTAGCAGACCAGTGGCAGAGAGTATGGCGCGATGGAAGGGTACAGCTAGCAGGAAAGGAGAGTATGGCGCGATAGCAGGGCAGCTGTTGCTACCCTGCTATCGCGCCATACTCCCCTTTCTCGGACGCTGGTAGACTCTGACCAACGCTGGAAGACGCTGGCAAATACTTTATCAAAATTTATACTGTCCCAGTCCCTGACGCTGCCGGACGCTTAAAACGCTAGTGGACACTGGTAGGCGCTGGTGGATGCCGCAAAGTATGAATACAGTCTAATGGAAGGGGAAGGTAACGATGGAAATCCATGGGTTTGGAGCATTGTAGGTAATTGGAAATTCATTCATCTCTCTCGTAAGAAAAATTGGTAAGTCAAGAAAAAGTTCTCTATTTGTGTTTGCTCTTTGTCATGTTTT